CATGGTATTTTAAATTGCGGAATATATATACAAAAGCTGAACAATGAATAAGGAAAACCAAAGAAGAATAGATGCCTTTGAATTAATGGTGTTGATGAGGAATAGTGAATAATTATAGACTGCCAGAAGAAGAAAAAAATCTTCAAAGAAGTACAGCTCCTTAGAAGTACAGATGGCGAGGTTTTCTCTCTCATTCTTTGGACATGTTATCAGAAGGGACCAATGCTTGGAGACGGACATCATGCTTGTTGAAGTTCAGGTTAGTGAAAGGGAGGAAGACATCTTTGGGATTGACAGAGTGGCTGCACAATGGGCTCAAACATATATGAGGTTGTGAAGGTGGTGCAGGTCTTAGCAGTATTTTGTTCTGTTATCTGTAGGGTTGCTATGGGTTGGAACCAACTTGACAGCACTTTAAACAACAACAATGGCTAATGATGTTGAGTATTCTTTTCATGTCCTTTTTAGCCATTCATATATCTTATTTAATGTGATATGGTGTTTTAGTTACCTAGTGCTCTGTAGCAGAAATACATAGCAAGTGGGCGACTTGAATAGACATTTTTCTTAGTCTCAGAGTACAGCTCCCAAGGAAAACTTTCTCTTGTGGCCGCTCTGGAGGAACGCCTTTATCTTTAAGCTTCTGTCCTGGGCTGTTTCCATGTGGTTTGGCATCTGCCATCCCCATCTCTGCTTGCTAGCTTGCTTGTTATATCTTTCTTATATTTCAAAACAGATTGACTCACTCTGTGAACCTGACACCAATCATGTCATATTAGCTTATTAAAGATATCCCATTCCCAAATGGGATTTTAACCTCAAGGATAGAAGTTAGGTCACAACACATATTTGGGGTCACTCTCTCTGTCTTCAGTCATTAACATTCCACTCTTTCCCATGCCCCCACCCCCACCCTCATCACCAAATTCATGTCCTTGCCACATGCAAAACACACTTACCCCTCCTTTTTCCACCAATTTGTTTTACTGTTCTCTGGAAGAATATTAACAATGATCAGTTATTGTACAAGGGACACACACCTATAAAATCATTAAAGCAATGGAAAACAGATCAGTGTTTGGGATGGTCATAGCATTGATTGCAAAGTGGCATGAAGGAATTCTTTGGGGTGGTGAAAATATGTCTTGATTGTCCAACTATATACATTTATTGGGGCTCATGGACCCATATACCTTAAAAAGGTGAATTCTATTATATGTAAATTTTAGTACAGTAAATTTTTAAAAAACGTTTTATTAGGGGCTCATACAACTCTTATCACAGTCCATACATATATCAATTGTGTGAAGCACATTTGTACATTCATTGCCCTCATCATTCTCAAAACATTTGCTCTCCATCTAAGCCCCTGGCATCAGCTCCTCATTTTTCACCCTCCCTCCGCACGCCCCCCTTCCCCCTCCCCATGAACCCCTGACAATTTATAAATTATTATTTTGTCATAGCTTGCATTAGTACAGTAAATTTAACTTCAAAAACAAACCTTACAACAATTCTACCAAGTAGGTATTATTCTTTATCATTTTGTGATTAGTAGAAACTGATGCTCAGAAAGGTTCAGGGGGTTTCTGTTGCCGCATCGTTGATGTGTGGCATTTCCAGGATTTGAACTTAAATCTGCCAAATCATAGAACCTGTGTTTTTAGCCTGTCTCTGATGCTGTTAAAGTATATAGGTTCTGTTGTGAAAGGCTGACCTCCTCTTAGGATCCAGGAAGTCTGCTTGCCTTTGAGCAGCTCCCAGAGTGGCTGTCACATTCTTATTCCAAATTTTGAATTCTTGGTAGATCTCATTCTTATCAGTCATTAGTTGGGATTGAAATTGATGCTGTTATGGAGTGCTGGCCCAGGCATGAAATCCTCCTGTGGCTGTGCCCCTCATTTTGCAGAAACAGAAGACCATTTTCAAAACTGATGAGTTTCTTTTGTTATGACAAGCAATTTCATACTTTGTCCAATCAGTGATACAACGTGCCTTCTCATTAGGAGAGTTTACAGGGTCAGTTGTGCAGCTTAGCATGGCAACCGTTTTAGGCAGAGAACTGGTTGGGTAGAAGAGAGATCAAAGGCAGACGAAGTGTGCAACCAATCTTCTGTGGTACTACTCTGTGTTCATCCTTATTGTTTATGTCTGTACACCACTTCATCATTTGCTTTGTGTTTTAACAACTGTGATCTTTCTTAAACTCTCCGTGAGGTGTTGCTTGACTCTGTTCTTAAATAGCTGGCTGTATTTTTCCCTTCCGTTGAGCTGAAATCTATTATCTCCCTTTAACTTTCACCCCCAAGTAATCCTAGTTTAAGTTTGTGAACAGATGCCAGTTGAATCTAGCTTATTTCCTTGAGATGGTTTGCCAAGGATGTGTTGAGGATATATTTCTAGAAGATACCCTCTGAAATCGACCAGTAGTATTTTAACTTTTACCTTTCTGGCTGCTCCAACTTCTATTCCGTGGGAGCTCACTCTTTCTTCACCTCTTATTCCAACATTCTGGGCAGACTAATAGCAGAGCAGTAAAGCCAGCTATTGACTTCTTTGCCTTCAACATTGCCTTGTTTCTTATCTTGAGGTGCTGTAGGAGAAGTTAATTACCGCCTCCCACAAAAAAATTGCCCATCTAACGTGTAAGTCTAGTTAGGAGAGAATTGTTTGATTTTTACGAAATGTAAATAACAACTGGAGACACATTTTCAAACGTGTGTCGACCTATGTGTCACAAATAGTTGCTGAAATAAATTGCCTGGCTAATAGAGTTTAATGATGGAGTTTCCATTAATCAGAATGGAGAAGGTGCTTCATTAAGATAATGAACAGCACATATGTGCAGGTGATCATTAATGGCCCACAAATTTCCAAGATTATTTCTTTCCTTTGCATAAATTTCTAAAGAGATCCTGGCTATGTTCCATGTTTGCTCTGTTCCATCCATTAAAATGATAAATGACAATAAATTCCTGTTTTGTTTTTATTTAAAGCTGTTAGTAACTGGTACTTTGTCAAGTGGAGGTGTGAGGGGCAGGTGAAGCATTTGCTGCTCTTCTTTCCAGTACTTTGTGCGCTCATAGCAAGATCCCTGGGTTCTCCCAGTAAGCAAGGGAGGCATATACTTTACTAGGATTGGCATCATTAGAGTTATGAGGGGTCTCAGAGATCCTGAAATAATTCTCTCATTTTACATTGAACAGTGAGATCTAGAGAAAGAAGTGAGCTGATTAATGTTACATAGTATGCTGAGGTCAGTAGTCTGTGGTATATTGGGGCTGAGATTGAACTCAGAGCCAGAAGGCTTGTGTTAATCTTAGGCACGTTATGGCACCACTCTGCTTCTTAGTGTAGTGTCTTTGTGAAATGAGAAATATACCTAGGATCAGGCTAAGTAACCCCCACCCTCAGAAAAACAACAACAACAACAACTTTGTGTTTGGTTATTTTCCCACAACACCATGATGATATTTCCCTTTGAGTGTAAATTGGAGATCATAGAGGGAAAGCTGATATTAAGGAGAATGAGTAATCAATAATAAGTTCTGTGCTTTTTTTCTTTTTTTCTGTAGAATCCTCAGTCTTCCAAAATGAACCCTGTGTACAGCCCCGTGCAGCCTGGGGCACCCTATGGCAACCCTAAGAACATGGCCTACACAGGTGAGTGGTGTGGGAATGACCCTTACTTTGAGAACTGGAGGTTAAGGATGTTACCACAACTTGGTGAATAGCTGTTAGTGTACTACACCTCTATAAAACCCTGGTAAAGCTTGGAAACTTTAGAGAATCTGGTGTAGAAGGAAATGGTATTCTTGAGACTCAAACTAATTACCATTGAGACAATTTTGACTATGGTGAGCCCATAGGGCAGAGTAGAAGAACTGCTCCTGTAGTTTTCTGAGACTATAAACCTCTAAGGGAGCAGAAAGCCTCATCTTTGTCCCATGGATCAGCTGGTGGCTTTGAATTGCCAACCTTGAGGTTAGCAGCTCAACTTGTAACTATTTATAACTATGCCACCAAGGCTCCTTTTCTAAGACTTGCATTGCTGGATAGGGAGAAGGTAAGACATATTTAAAGAGTTTCTACTATGGGTTGACCTCATGCTCATGCTAGGCAGTTTCACATAGTTTAGTCTACTTTAACCGTGAAGGGATTATATCAGGTAAGCTCATTATCACCATTTTACAGATGGGAGAACCATAGTTACAATAACAACAACAACAACACACACACACAATTAAAACCCAAACTCACTATCATCAAGTCAATTCCAATGCATGGCAACCCTATAGGAAAGGGTAGAAATGCCCCTGTGAGTTTCTGAGACTGTAACTCTTTACCAACTGCTTGCCTTGCAGACATAACCCAATTTACCTGGAATTCCTTTGTCCCTGAGCTTTACCTTACTTTTAAAGAACTCAGCACTGAGCTCAGGTAGCACTTTTCTAAAAAACACTTTGTTCTTTAATATTAGGCAAGTTTTAAAATCATTCAGAACCATAGTATTTCCATGTATAAAATGAAGTTATTAGTATTAGCTTATTTCATATGATTGCTGTGAGGATTAAACTAGTGAGGTGCTCAGTATTTATTACCTGGCACAAAGTAACTGATGGCTATTATGATTTACAAATTATTTATAGATATATAGTTATTTACACATAAATAAAGGTGGTAGGATTGTGGGAGTATAAGTGAATGAAAAAATATGTGTAAGGCTTCAAGAATACTACGGTGCATCAAAATGTTCATGGAAAAATTCTGTTCCCCTTTGATATAGTTAAGGTTTATTGTGCCAACCTGGCTGATAAACACATGTGGGATTAATTGAGAGGTGGACCGATAAATGGCTCGGTGAGCCTCATGTTTCTGGTTCTCGGGTCTCTTGCTCTCTGATGGTTGGACCAGGCTACAGCTGCCGTAGTCAGTTCCCTGCTTCAGCTGGCAAGGCTCAGTTCCTGTGAGACATCCTTGAGAAGTCACATGGACCTACCCCAATGCAGCCCTGGGTGATGGATCAGCCATGTGGAGACCCCTGCCAGCGCTGAGATGCTTACACACTCACTGATGAGGCTTTCCTCCAGCAGTCAGCATTGCGTGTATTTTGTGAGATTGAGGAGGACTTCGTTAATTGGTGTTGGACATACTGGCTAATGTTGGACTTACAGGCTTGGACAGTACTGGGTTGGGATGCTTTCTTAATGTACACGTACCCTTTATATAAAACTCTCATATACATATGTTTCTGTGGATTTGTTTCTCTAGTCTACCCAGACTAACACACCTTTCAATTCCATTTTTCCTGAACGTTTTGAAGTCCCCTTGCATTTATGAGTTTAAATCCAAGGTGAAGATAACAGTATAAATAGACACATGGTGGTCCTTAAGATTAGCTGGAATAAAGAGGAAAAAAGAAATCCCTGGGTGGTATGAACAGTTTAGCACTGGCTGCTAGCCAATAGGTTGACCTTTTGAATCCACCCAGAGGCTCCTTGGAAAACAGGCCTGGTGATCTGTTTTTTAAAGATCCTAGTCTTGAAAATCCTATGAGGCAATTCTACTTTGTACTTATGGGGTTGCCATGAGGTAGAACTGACTTGACTGCAGTGAACAACAAAAATAATGTTTTGTACAATCTCGGGCTGAGAACTGGAGGGATCTCAGAGAACTCCTTGTCTAGTTGTTTCCAAATTGTGATCTTGAAGAACCCTAGGGAAATTCTTCAGGGATTCCTCATACTTTTGATTAAAAATATATATACAGAAACACTTTTATAAAGCGTGCACACCTGTGTTAAGTTTCTAAGATACATGTTAATTTAAAAAAAACCCTACCATTTACAGCTGTTTAAGTTTATAAATCAGGATTTCCTCAATGCTGAGCATCTGTTTTGCAACATTCAGAAGTATATTGGAGACTGAGTCTGATATGACTGCAGCTGTCACCTATCAGTCTCATATGTTTTATTCATTATATTAGCTTCATTGTCTTATTATTCAGCCTTAAAAGTAAATTATTTCTGTTTAAAATACTATTGCATATTTATACTAATTATATAAATTCCAGTCACCAGAACTCACTGGGCAATACCTCATGCCCCTGTAGCTCAAGGAGCCTGTTGCTCTTCTTCTTCCCAGCTCAGGGAATTTTAGCAGTGTAAATGTGTTTGACAGCCAGAACCCGGGGAATCCTGTGGGGCCTGGGTGTCCAGTTTGCCATTATCCTTCATTCTTTCTGAGTGGCTAAATTTGAGGAGGAGGAAAACAGTTGTGTTTATCTATTGATTTGCGCAAAGAAGTGTGCTATATTAGAAAGACATATTAGGTAAATCTGCTGTACAAGACCTCTTTAAAGTGTTGAAAAGCAAGAATGTTACTTGGAGGACTAAGGTGCCCTTGACCCAAACCATAGTAATTTCAGTTGCCTAATATGCATGTCAAAATGGGACATTGAATTGAATAAGAAAGACTAGAAAAATTGATGCATTTGAACTATGGTGCTGGCAAAGAATAATGAAAGTACCCTGGACTGCCAATGGAACAAACAGGTCTGTCTTGGAAGAACTTAGAAACAAGGACAGTGAGACTTCTCTCGTACTTTTGACCAATCCCTGGAGAAGGACATCATTCTTGATAAAGTAGAATTGCCGTGACAAAAAGGAAGGCCTTCAATGAGATGCATTGACACAGTGACTGCAACATAAGAAGAGGGGCCTGCAGTGTTGCTATGAGTCAGAACTCACTCGATGAGGGAACAACAAAAAGGGAACAGACCTTGTTTCAGATTGGTACAATTTAGTAAATATGTTTTAATTTCATGATCAACCAAAACATAAATCTTGATATCCTGGAGTCAGTTATGACTCATAATGACCTGATTGTAGGACCAAGTAGTACTAGCTCATGGGGTTTTCAAGGTAGTAAATCATATATATATAGTTTTATTGACATATAATTCCCAAACCATATAATTCAATAGTTTAATCATCGTTAAAAACAGTTGTACAGGCATTACTACAGTCAATTTTAGAACTTTTTCTTACTCATATTTATTGTTATTAGCTCCCTGTTTCCCCCCAGTATTCCTTACCATATCCCTAAGGAGCTATTAACCCAGGAACTGTCTCTCTAGATTTACCTATCCTAGATTTCATATACAGAAAAACATTAAAACAAACAAAACCTAACAACAAAAACAAAGTAAAACAGAGAAAAACTTCAAACAAAAAGAAAGCTGAAAATATTAAAAACTGGGTGGGACAAATTTAAAATGAGTCAAAAGAGAGTTCAAATGATAATGTGCCAATGTTATCGTAACTAAATCTGCTGTGTTCTACCTTGCTGTGCATTCTGCATGGTAATAAGGCTGTTCACATCCCTGGTCTATGGTCAGAGGGGATTCACCAGAGGCTTACTTCACTTGTATTTCCCCTTCATTAAAAAAAAATAGAAATAGCTTTAAAGTGGTCAATGATAAGATATTAATATAAAAGTGATAAGATATTACATTTTAACCTAAATATGTCTGCCATAATTTACTTTACAGTGTTTTCTATCTGATAACAGGGCTCTTTACTGGTACATCCTTCAACTATCTGTCAGAGGGAATTCACCAAAGATTTAATCCATGTGGGGACCCTGCAAATGGATTTGGGGTTTCTCACAGCCTTCTGGAGATCAAGTGTTCACAGTTTAAGCACTGATACTATCCTTTCTTTCAGATTTGGATTATAATATTTGCAGTCTTTGAGTCACACAGGCTGCTGTGCTTCTTCCATGTGGTCTTAGTTGAGGCCTCACTTAGATGGTGCTTGTTTGGAAACCTTTAAGACCTCAGACACTATTCATTCTGATTGCTAGGCGTCATCTGGTTTCTTCACCACACCTTGCTATAGCACCCATATATAGCAGTCTCTTTATAAGGCCGAGCATTAAGCAGGGGCATGTCATAAGAACTAATTATTCTTAAATTGGGGCTAGAATTGAGTGGGAGCTCAAAATCCATTCATATATCTAGGATTTCTATATTTCTGTGGTTCATCTTATAAACATCATTGTCAAATTGTGTTAGGGGACATTATCAATCACTCCCCTGGGATATAAGGTGATTCTTTTGATAGAGTCATTAATTTAGCCAATGACATAGAATTTAAAACACTGTTGAGAATAGAAAATGATACCAGTATAGGCCAGCTATGAACTGCAGTACATGAACTAGTAACCTGTACAGATTAAACTCCTAAGTAACTTGACACTATTTACACAAGTAGGGTTGTGTGTTAGTTTGGGTAGACTAGAGAAAGAAATTCATGGACACTCACGTGTATAAGAAAGAGGTTTATATACAAGAGCAATTGAATATTGAGAACACATTCCCGCCCAGATCAAGTCCGTAAGTCCGATATTAGCCCATATGCCTGATACCCATGAATAAAGTCCTCTTCTGACTCACGAAACACATGCAATGACACCGAATGCAGGAAGATCACAGGCCAGTGGGTGGGAAGTCTTGTGGATCCAGTGGCAACATAAGCATCTCAGCGCGGGCAGGGGTGTCAACGAGGCTTCTCCGGCTCCAGAGGTCTAGCGTAGCTCCATGTGTCTTATCAGCGGAGAGTCTCTCAGGGAGTGAGCAGAGTGTTTTCCGCCTCCTAGGAG